ATGAGCCACCACGTCTGGTCTGAGTCATTTCTTTTGACCCAGAACAAAACCAGCCCAGGAGTGGCTGTACTCTCACCCTACACTGGGGAGGCCCACAGCTTCAGGGTGCAGTGGAGCTCTTGCAATTTAACGACTGATTCATCTTCAAAAAAGCACAATCTCAACCAGGCGTGGTGGCTCACACCTGTAATTCCAGCACTTTGGGAGGCTGAGGCAGGCTGATCACCTGAGGTCAGAAGTTTGAGATGGCCAACATAGTGAAACCCCGTCTCTACTAAAAATACAAAAATTAGCCTAGTGTCATGGTGCACACCTATAATTCCAACTACTCGGGAGGCTAAGGCAGGCGAACCACTTGAACTCGGGAGGTGGAGGTTGCGGTGAGCCGAGATCACACCACTGCACTCTAGCCTGGGCGACAAGAAGCAAAACTCCATCTGAAAACAATAAAACAAAACAAAACAAAACAAAACAAAAAAAGCATAATCTCTTTCAGAATTTTCACCTTCTCATGGTGGTTCTGTTAGGAAAGGCTTCCATGGGAGCCTTCAGTAAGTGACCTAAAAAAAATCTCAGAGCCATTCTTTTTTTTTTTTTCAGATGGCGTCATGCTGTGTCACCCAGGCTGGAGTGCAGTTGCACAATCTCAGCTCACCGCAACCTCTACCTCCCGGGCTCAAGCCATCCTCCCACTTTGGCTTCCTGAGTAGCTGAGACTACAGGTGCGTGCCACCGTGCCTGGCTAATTTTTAAATTTTTTGTAGAGACGGGGTCTTGTTATGTTGCCCAGGCTGGCCTCAAACTCTTGGCCTCAAGTGATCCTCCTACCTTGGCCTCCCAAAGTGCTGGGATTACAGGGGTGAACCACTGTTCCTGGTTTAGAGCCATTCTTCTTTTTTGGTGGTTCTGAGACGGAGTTTCACTCTTGTTGCTCAGGCTGGAGTGCAATGGCGCGATCTCGGTTCACTGCAACGTCCGCCTTCTGGTTTCAAGCGATTCTCCTGCCTCGGCCTCCCGAGCAGCTGGGATTACAGGCACCTGCTACCATGCCCAGCTAATTTTTTTGTATTTTTAGTAGAGACGGGGTTTCACCATGTTGGCCAGGCTGGTCTCGAACTCCTGATCTCGTGATCTGCCCGCCTCGGCCTCCCAAAGTGCTGGAATTACAGGCATGAGTCACCGCGCCTGGCCCTAGAGCCATTCTTAACAGGGTTTGTCCCCCTGGAAACTTCCCGAAGCCTCACCCTCCTGGGAATTCCCTGCTGGGTGCCACAGTCATCTCTTCACCTCTCGGTTTCCACTCTCCCATCCTTGCACCGACATCCCACTGTTAGGCCTTCTTCAAGCATGGACCTTCTCATGCTCAGTCTCTCTGTGCTGTGCAAGAGTCTACTGGGTGGGCCTCACAGAAGGTTCCAGGCCCTGGCGCAAGCCCAAGGGAAATGATGATCCAAAATGGACTCAGATAAAGTTTCTGCCACTATGCATTGGGGGCTTTTGGTTGGAGTCCAGTTCAATTTTAGAAAAATAAAAATACATGTCTCGCACTTCTGAGTGTGCAGACTAAGGTCCATTCTGTATTTGCAAACGAGGACAAAAAGGCGGTTGGGTGCGGTGGCTCACCCCTGTAATTCCAACACTTTGGGAGGTCAAGATGGGCGGATCACTTGAGGCTGGCCAGGAGTTCGAGACTGGCCTGGCCAACCAGCTTGGCCTTTCACCATGTTAGGGTGCCTAAAAATACAAAAAATCAGCCGGATGCTGTGGCACATGCCTGTAATCCCAACTACTCAGGAGGCTGAGGCAGGAGAATCGTTTGAACCTGGGAGGCAGAAGTTGCAGTGAGCCGAGATCATGCCACTGCACTCCAGCCTGGCCAACAAGAGCTAAACTCCATCTCCAAAAAAAAAAAAAGAGAAAAGAAAAAGAAAAAAGGCAACTGGGGGAAAACAGTCTTCCCAGCTCACCTGGCACTGCCCGTCTTTTTCCATATTCAGATCACATGGCGAGGCAGGTGTACTTGTCTGTCTTAGTGATAAGGAAGTGAAGGCTCAGATTCCCACAGCTAGTCAGGTGGGTACAGGCACTTGAACGAGACGGCGCTTTCCCATGGCCCATACGCTGCCTGGGACCCTGAAGGCTGATTCCTGGGCACTGCCCCAGCCACCTGCCTCTCTACAGACTATGTGCCACCCCTCCACCTGCCCTGGGACACCTGCCACCAGATGAAGGGGCCTGCTATTGCCTCTGCCTCCCCCAGCAGACCCCAGCTTCCACTCCAATTCACCTTGGAACTGCCGGTGCTGGCCCAGGCCAGGCTTTGGGGACCGTGCGAGGGAGGGCTTGAGAAAAGCCCATGTTTGTGCAGGAGTAGCCCTCTGTGACCTCTGGTGAACCCTTGGAGACTCCCAGGAGCCTGGACATGTTCCCAGCCCAGCATGACTAGAGGCATGAGTAAGTGTGGAGCTGGTTCTCCAGGCGGCTACCTGGCTTGGGTGCCAATGCCATCCCTGAGGGCTGGGGCCATGGCCACCTGCTAGCCCTGGGACATACAGTATTAACACGTCACTCAGGCCGGGCGCCGTGGCTCACGCCTGTAATCCCAGCACTTTGGGAGGCCGAGGCGGGCGGATCACAAGGTCAGGAGATCGAGACCACGGTGAAACCCCGTCTCTACTAAAAATACAAAAAATTAGCCGGGCGCGGTTGTGGGCGCCTGTAGTCCCAGCTACTCGGGAGGCTGAGGCAGGAGAATGGCGTGAACCCGGGAGGCGGAGCTTGCAGTGAGCCGAGATCGCGCCACTGCACTCCAGCCTGGGCGACAGAGCGAGACTCCGTCTCAAAAAAAAAAACAAACAAACAAACAAAAAAAAACCCGTCACTCACACTGAGCCTCAGTTTCCCCCTCTGTAAGGTGGGCTCTAGCATCTACCTCCTAGGTATGAAGCCTAAATGAGATGCCTCCTCTGTCTGCACTCCGCTGTAACCCTGGTTCCTAGAACACTGCCTTGCCCCAGCAGGACCTCCTGAAATACGTGTGAAAGGCACCCGCATACAGCACCCAGTGCAGGGCCAGAAACCCAGTGACCTCTCAGCTGGGTGCCCACCAGAGCCACACTCACTGCATTGTGCTGCTGCAGCTTCCACTGTCTCTACCTTTCCAACATCACCTGACCATTCTGCCCCTCTGAGAGCTCCGGAAACACACTTCTGGCATCCAGTGACCCCCCAACCCCTGCCGTTCACCCCGCCAAACACAGCCCACCCTCCTCTCTGCCTCTCAAAGTCCCATCTTCCCCTGAGGCCCAAGCACGGCCTTCCTTACTCCAGGATCCAACTACCCCTCACCCTCCTGATCCCCCTTCTGGGGGTTCCCACGGCCTGTCGGCAGCCGCCACATCACTGTACCCTAGGTACTTTTTTTTTTTTTTGAGACAGAGTCTCGCCCTGTTGCCCAGGCTGGAGTGCAGTGGTGCGATCTTGGCTCACTGCAACCTCTGCCTCCTGGGTTCAAGTGATTCTCCTGCCTCAGCCTCCCAAGTAGCTGGGATTACAGCTGCGTACCACCATGCCTGGCTAATTTTTGGATTATAAGTAGACACGGGGTTTTACCATGTTGGTCAGGCTGGTCTCGAACTCCTGACCTCAAGTGATCCTCCTGCCTTGGCCTCCCAAAGTGCTGGGATTACAGGTGTGAGCCACAATGCCTGGCCCACCCTGGAGGCTCTGGCCAGTCCTTAGTGCTCACCACGTGGCATGTTTCCCTGCAGGGACAGCCTCTGCAAATCTGGGTTTGGGAGGCCAGGGCACAACCCATGGTGGACATGGAGGTGGATGGGTGGCTTAAAAAGGGTCAGGAGGCTGGGCATGGTGGCTTATGCCTGTCATACCAGCACTTTGGGAGGCCAAGGCAGGAGGATCACTTGAGGCCAGGAGTTTGAGACCAGCCTTGCCAACATGGTGAAACCCCATCTCTACCAAAAATACAAAAATTAGCCGGCCATGGTGGCATGTGCCTATAATCCCAGCTACTCGGGAGGCTGAGGCAGGAGAATAGCTTGAACCTGGGAGATGGAGGTTGCAGTGAGCGGAGATTGTGCCACTGCACTCCAGCCTGGGCAACAAAGTGAGACTTGGTCTCAAAAAAAAAAAAAATATATACACACACACACACACACACACACACACACACACACACACACACACACACATATAAAACACAAAAAAAGGGTCAGGAGAGGCACTGCACTGTTGAAGGCGGGGTAGACACCCCCCACATCTTACCACCACGCTTGCAGTTCCCATGGAGACACCCCTCCTTCTGTGGTTAGGAACCCACTCACCGACAACCTCATCTATTCACTAAGGTCAACCAGACCCCCTTTATCAGGAGTGGGCACACTGACCTGGCCTGACCCCTCCCTCCTGAACCCAGACTGGGTAAAACTTAGAAATCACTGGTACCACCACTCCTTTCTCTTCCCCAGGATGTGAGGCCACATTCAAGCTTAGCCTTCCTCCATCTACCTGGGTCAGGCGCCCAGGTGAGGTGGCTAAACAGGAGGGCAGGGGCCTAGGCCGGGCACGGTGGCGCACGCCTGTAATCCCAACACTTTGGGAGGCTGAGGTAGGTGGATCACTTGAGGTCAGGAGTTGGAAACCAGCCTGGCCAACATGGTGAAACCCTGTCTCTACTAAAAATACAAAAAATAGCCAGGCGTGGTGACAGTTGCCTGTAATCCCAGCTACTCAGGAGGCTGAGGCAGGAGAATCGCTTGAATCCGGGAGGTGGAGGTTACAGTGAGCTGAGATCACACCACTGCTCTCCAGCCTGGTTGACAGAAAAGAACTCTGCCGCAGAAAAAAAAAAAAAGAAAGGCAGGGGCCTGGCTTCTGTTCCCAGCCCCCAGAACCTGTGCCCCACAGCAGGCTTAGCTCCAGCCCCCAGCACCATGACTGGGCCCTATTCCCAGTGCCCCTCCACAGCCAGTGCCTCTTACCAGGCTTTGGGATGAGTCCTTGGAAAGGCCTAGAAGAGAAACAGAGGCAGGGGTGTCAGAAGGAGGACCTGGGGGATGAGGAAGACACCCCTGGGAAGCAGTGGCCTCGGTCTCTCCTGGGAGCACCCCAGACCTACGGCAGCAGAATCTGCATTTTAACAAGCCGCCCTGGGGCTCTGTGTGTGCAGGACACTGAGACAATGTGGCAGGGTGCTGGCATTGGCAGTGTCACTCTGCAGGACGCAGACCTGGGCCTTGTGCAGGCTCTGCCCTGGCTGGCCCTGGGACCTTGGGCAAATCCCTCTGATGGGGGCTGAATGCCTTTCCCGGGGGCTGGGGGTGCAGTGAGCGGGTGTTGCTGAACAGGTTGAAGATGCCCTTGAAGGCTGCCCTTGCCATCGTGGGGTGACCAGTCCCACTTCTGAAGGGTTCCCTGCACTCGGGCTGGCCTGCAGTCCCTTTCTGGCCACCCCCAGGACCCAGGATGGCGCCAGGAGAGCCACATTGTCCAGTAGGGAGAGCAGGACCTAGGGAAAGGCTAAGGATTCACAGGTATAAGCCTCCATCTGAGCTAGTCCCGCCTCTTCACCCTCATCCTTCCCCCTGAGTACCTGGTGACTGTGAACTTGATCTTGTCGGCCACGGCAAGAATCCTCTCCAGGTTCTGGGAGCCGAAGGTGCAGGGCTTTCGGAACGGGATTCCCGGGGGCAGCCCCTCAATGATCACGGAGCGGGGTTACTCTTGATCCGCTTGTAGGGGACCTGGACCGGGTACTTGATACCCAAGACTTCCCCTGTGGGTGAGAGGCAGGGTCCTGCCCATCAGGAGTGAGAGGCAGCGTGGGGTGTGTGTACATGGGATTGCAGGGGTGTGATGGAAAGACATGCGTGCAGGAGAGTGAATGGCACGAGAAAGGTCTCGGGTAGCACCGTGGAAAAGTATAGGCATTACAATGTGAGCTATTTGATCAGAACATTAAAAAAAGGCCAGCATGGTGGCTCATGCCTGTAATCCCAGCATTTTGGGAGGCCAAGGCAGGAGGATCACTTAAGTCTAAGAGTTCGAGATCATCCTGGGCAACAGAGCAAGATCCTGTCTCTACCAAAAATTTCTAAAAAATAGCTGGACATAGTGGTGCATGCCTGTAGTTCCAGCCACTTGGGAGGCTGAGGCAGGAGGATTGCTTAAGCCCAAGAGTTTGAGGCTGTAGTGAACCATGATCACGGGTGACATGGTGAGACCCTGTCTCAAAAAAAAAAAAAAAAAAAAAAGAAAAGAAGGAAAAAGCCACACCAATATGCTCCCATGTCATATGCTCCTTTTTTTTTTTTTTTTTTTTTTTTTGAGACAGAGTTCTGCTTTTGTTGCCCAGGTTGGAGTGGAATGGCACGATCTCAGGTCACTGCAACCTCCACCTCGCAGGCTCAAGTGATTCTCCTGCCTCAGCCTCCTGAGTAACTGGGACCACAGGTGTGCACCACTGCACCTGGCTAATTTCTTTTTTGTATTTTTGGTACAGATGGGGTTTCGCCATGTTGCCTGGGCTGGCCTTGAACTCCTGAGCTCAAGTGATCTGCCTGCCTCAGCCTCCAAAAGTGCTGAGATTACAGGCATGAGCCACCGAGCCAGGCCCCTGTCTATTAAATTCTGTGTGTAGTAGTTGAAAGCGTGTCTCACTTCATTGGTCTGCAAGGCTCATGAGTACAGGGACTGTGTCTGTTTTATTCATGGCAGTATCTCCAGTGCCTGAGATAGTGCCTGGCACACAGTAAATGCTCAAGACATACACGTAAAGGGGTGGATCGTTTCCCCAGAAATGCCCTCGACTGGAACTGGGAAACCTCCCATTTCTCTGCCCACAGCAGCTGCGTGTCCCTCCCCCGGGGGTTCTGCGCTGCTTACCGTATTTCTTATTGAAAAGCTCCTGGCCCTGCTCCCTTAGCGTGTGGGCGATGTAGATCCGTGAGAGCCTCGCGTCGTAATATTCTGCAAAGCGCAAAACGATTATGGGTTTGGGCTGTTCAGTGAAAAGGCATTTGGTGACTTTTAAGGAAGATGATTTTCTAATTATGGGGAACTCCTTCTCTGACAATTAACGGATCTTTGGAGTGGGCCCCTCAGGTCCTTCAGCACCAACGTCTTGATGGAGATGTGTGTTTTCCAGAAGGACATGCACTGTTACCACAACAGTGATGACTTGGAAATTAAGTTAATTGTTGACATTTGAAAACCACCAAACCAATAAATAAGCCCCGGAGGGGAGGGGCACCATGGAGTGCGGAGTCCTGTGCCCCGGGCTGGCGAGCAGGGGGCGGGGGCTTCATGAAGTCACTGGGGGGCTGGAGACAAGGAAGGAATGGAAGCCCAGCTGATCCAGCAGACGGTGGAGGACGGGCAGTCCCCACAGACACAGCGGACGGGCCTGGCAGCTCCCAATGCAACCTCCACCTCCCAGGCTCAAGTGATTCTCCTGCCTCAGCCTCTTGAGTAGCTGGGACCACAGCCATGTGCCACTGCGCCTGGCTAATTTATTCTTTGTGTTTTTGGTAGAGATAGGGTTTCGCCATGTTGCCCAGGCTGGCAGCAAACCCCTGAGATCAAGTGATCCACCTGCCTCAGCTGGGATTACAGGCATAAGCCACTGAGCCACCCTCACCCATTAAAAACTCCCAAGTGTGGCCAGGCGCGACATTACAGGGATATGCAGACCAAGGCCCAGAGGGCCCTGGTCTATCTATCTAGGGCCCTGGGCCCTATCTATTTTTAAGAAAAGAAATCAGAAGCCGAGTGCAGTGGCTCATGCCTGTAATGCCAGCACTTTGGGAGGCCGAGGTGGGAGGATCACCTGAGGGCAGGAGTTGGAGACCAGCTGGGCCAACATGGTAAAATCCCATCTCTACTAAAACTACAAAAATTAGCCGGGCATGGTGGTACATACCTGTAATCCCAGCTACTCGGGAGGGTGAGGCAAGGTAATCCCTTGAACCTGGGAGGTGGAGGTTGTAGTGAGCTGAGACTGCATCACTGCACTCCAGCCTGGAAGACAGCAAGACTCTGTCTCAGAAAAAACAAAAACAAAAAGCTGGGCGCAGTGGCTCACACCTGTAATCCCAACACTTTGGCAGGCTGAGGCCGGCAGATCATCTGAAGTCAGGAATTTGAGACCAGCTTGTCCAACATGGTGAAACCCCATCTATACCAAAAAAATACAAAAATTAGCCGGGTGTGGTGGCATATGCCTGTAATCCCAGCTACTCAGGAGGCTGAGGCAGGAGAATCGCTTGAACCCAGGAGGCAGAGGTTGCAGTGGGCCGAGATTGTGCCATTGCACTCCAGCCTGGGCGACAACAGTAGAACTCCATCTAAACAAACAAACAAACAAACAAACAAAGTGTCCGCATGCGCCGGAATGATCCAAGACCACCATTTCTCTCTTTCCCTCTCTCTTTTTTTTTGAGACAGGGTCTTGCTCTGTTGCCCAGGCTGGAGTGCAGTGGCACGATCTCGGCTCACTGCAACCTCCGCCTCTCAGGTTCAAGCGATTCTCCTGCCTCAGCCTCCCAAGTAGCTGGGATCACAAGTGCACACCAACTTGCCCGACTAATTCTTACATATTTTTGGTAGACACGGGGTTTCGCCATGTTGGCCAGGCTGGTCTTGATCTCCTGGCCTCAAGTGATCTGCCTGTCTCGGCCTCCCAAAGTGCTAGGATTATAGGCGCGAGCCACTGCACTCGGCTTCTGATTTATTTTCTTAAAAATAGATATAGAGACAGGTTCTATGTTGCCCAGGCTGGTCTCGAACTCCTGGCCTCAAGCCATCCTCCCTCCTTGACCTCCCCAAGTGCTGGAATTACAGGCGTGAGGTGCGGCACCTGGCTCCTATTCTGATTTCAAAGCACTAAGACCACAGCTGATTGCTGAATAAGGAGTGGGCGTGTCAGCTACCTCAGTGGGGATGGCGGGGGCCGGGGGGGGGGAAGGGGAGGAGGGGAGCAGACAGGCTCCTGGGCCCTATACCTTCCCATTCCCCAAGTTCCCCCACCATCCACCTGTAGGCACCCCCTGTCCCCTGGAGTCTCTAACACAGAGCTGGCAGGGTACAGCCGGGCCTGGGCTGCCAACCTGGCTTGCCTGGTTCCTTAGGCCCTGAGGTTGGGGGCCAGCTCCTCCCCACTTCCAGCCTGGCCCTCCAAACCCAAACCAGGTCAAGGTCATGGTGCTGGGACAACAGACCTCCCCCTGAGCTCAACCTTACCTTGAAAGCCCTGTCTCTTCAGGTTCTCGTCCACCAGAGGGTCCCCGGAGTCCCTCTCTGGGGGCAGGGCAGGGGGAGAGAAGCCAAGTGAGGAGGCAGTTCCTGGGACCCAAGATGGCATCGTTAGGGGAAACCCAGTGCGGGGGTGTGGGGAGAATGCCAGGGCCAGGATGGGAGCAGGACAGAGGCAGCAGGAGGAGGGGCTGGTGGCAGAAGCCCTTGGGGCCCTCCCTTGCCCGCCCACACCACAGCCTGCGACCCCACGCTGGGTACCTTGACTCTCCATGATGGGCTCTTGGACTCCCTCACTGAGCAGCTCAGGCCTGGAAAACACAAGTGGGGCTAGAGGTCCCTCCAAGCATCTGTGGGACTGCCCAGCCCTCCCCTCTGGGCCTCAGTCTGCATATCCCTGTAATGGACCCTCCTGGGTCTGCACAGTTCAGGCCTGGAGTCCCTGTCGCCCCACATGTGGAATCTGGGGGGCTGCGCTGGGCTTGAAGGATCCAGCTGGGCATGAGACCTGCCCAGTCCTGAACACAACTGTCTGATATCTCACTCCTGCTCCCAGGACATTGCACGATTGTCACTACCTGGGATTGGAGCAGGCGGCCTCAGGGGGCCTCCCGTGGAGCTGGTTTAAAGTGTAGAAACGAGGTCTGGTGCAGCAGCTCATGCCTGTAATCCCAGCACTTTGGGAGGCCAAGGAGGATGGTTCACTTGAGGTCAGGAGTCTGAGACCAGCCTGGCCAACATGGTGAAACCTGTCTCTACTAAAAGTACAAAAATTAGCTGGGCATGATGGCAGGTGCCCATAATCCCAGCTACTTGGGAGGCTGAGGGAGGGGAATTGCTTGAACCCAGGAGGCAGAGGTTGCAGTGAGCTGAGATAGCGCCACTGCACTCCAGCCTGGGTAACAGAGTAAGACTGTGTCTCAAAATGAAAGAAAATAAAAGAAAATAAAGGAAAAGAAAAGAAAAGAAAAGGAGTAGAAACAGTGGGGGCCCACTACATAGCAAGAACTCTGAGCTTCTGGAAAGGTCTGAGATCTACGGCTCACATCTGAGAGCTGCTGTGTCACTGCAGTCAGGAGTGCCAGTGACCAAGCCCAGCTTTGTATTCTGCTAATGTCTTTAGCTCCACAGACTCCAGAAAGCCCTGCCAGACATGAGTCAACCTTCTTTATCATAGAGCACTGCTTCTTAAGGCCCCATCTGCAGCACAACTTGTCCCCTTAGAGCAAGCCTGTTGGGGGGCTCGGGTTTGTGGTGGGTAGAGGACACTGGGAAAATCATGCTGGCCAGAGCGGGGCTGTCAGGGGATGGCAGGGTGGGCCACGGAGTGCAGAGGTAATGAGCTCTCTGGAGAGGTAATAAGCCTGGAGAGGTAATGAGCTCTCTGTCACGGGGTAATCAAGCAGCTGAACCGAGGAGTCTCTGCCTGGGAGTGAGACCAAGGGCCAAACTCTCAGGGAGGGCACCCCCTGGGTCCCTGGTAGATGAGGATTTGGTCCCCGCTCTGGCAGTGGGCATCTCTTAGGCTTCTGTACAGTGCCAGGGCTGGGAGGGGGAAGCATAGCCCTGCCTTGAACCACAGTCTCAGGAGCTAGAAAAGGTTTCAGATTGGCCAGGCACGGTGGCTCACGCCTGTAACCCCAGCACTTTGGGAGGCCTAGGCGGGCGGATCACGAGGTCAGGAGATCGAGACCATCCTGGCTAATATGGTGAAACGCTGTCTCTCCTAAACAACATACAAAAAAATTAGCCAGGTGTGGTGGCGGGCGTCTGTAATCCCAGTTACTTGGGAGGCTGAGGCAGGAGAATCGCTGGAACCCAGGAGGCAGAGGTTGCAGTGAGCCGAGATCACACCACTGCACTCCAGCCTGGGCAACAGAGTGAGTGAGACTCCGTCTCAAAAAAAAAAAAACAAACAAAAAAAACAAAACCCAACTCGGGCGCTGTCGCTCGGCTGCAGAGGCTGCGGTTGGCGGTGGCTGCGGCGGCAGCGCAGGCTAAGCGGCAGCGCCAGAGTCCGCGGTTGGCGCTGCCCCAGCGGGGACCCGGCGGCTCGCAGGCAGCGGCCGAGGCGGGGCAGGGCGGGCGGGGGCCGGTGGGCGGCGGCCGGGCCGGGACGATGACTCTGGAGTCCGTGATGGCGCGTTGCCTGAGCGATGAGGTGAAGGAGCGGATCAACGCCGAGATCCAGAAGCAGCTGCAGGGGACAAGCGCGACGCCCGGCGCCAGCTCAAGCTGCTGCTGCTCCGCAGGGGCGAGAGCGGGAAGAGCATCTTCATCAAACAGACGCGCATCGTCCAGGGCGCCTGCTACTCGCAGGAGGCCAAGCGCGGCTTCACCAAGCTCGTCTACCACATCTTCACCGCCACCCAGGCCACGATCCGGGCCGTGGAGATGCTGAACATCCTCCACAAGGAGGAGCAGAACAAGGCCAGTGGCTCCTGATCCGAGAGGTGGACGCAGAGAAGGTGACCACCTTCGAGCATTGGTACGTCAGCGCCATCAGGACCCTGTGGGACGACCCCGGCATCCAGGAGTGCTGCGACCGCAGGCGCCAGTGCCAGCTCTCGGACCCGGCCAAGTACTGCCTGACGGACGCTGCCCGCAGGGCCGCCTCGGGCCACGTGCCCACCCCGCAGGACGCGCTGCGGGGCCGCGTGCCCACCACCGGCATCTTTCGACCTGGAGAGCATCATCTTCAGGATGGTGGATGTGGGGGGACAGCGGTCGGCTCCAGGAAGCGGATCCACTGCTTTGGGAACCTGACGTCCATCCTGTTTCTCGTCGCCCTCAGTGAATACGACCAAGTCCTGGCGGAGTCGGACAAGGAGAACCGGGTGGAGGAGAGCAAAGCCCTGTTCCGGACCATCGTCAACTCTCCCTGGTTCCAGAACTCCGTCATCCTCTTCCTCAACAAGAAGGACCTGCTGGAGGACGGTATCCTGTACTCGCACCTGGTGGGCTCCGTCCCCGAGCTGGACGGGCCCCAGCGGGACGCCCAACGGCGCGGGAGTTCATCCTGAAGATGTTCGTGGACACGAACCCCGACGGCGAC